AGAGAAGAGATGAGAGAGAGAAGATGGAGGGACGAGATGAGATGAGATGAGATGAGCGAGTGAGAGAGAACTGGAATGAGAAGAGAGAGACTTGTCCCAGCGAAAAGGAGAAGGAGAAAACCGTTTGGTCAGGAGACACCGTATGGGTGCAGGCGCATTTGGCCGTATTGGCCGTATTGGCCGTATTGGGTTGTTATTTACCAGGGCAACCCTTCCCCTGCGGGGTATTTTTGGGCGCCAATACCAAACGGCCGGATGCCCGTTGCTGCTCTTTGCTGTTGCTGCTGTTGCTGCTGTTGCTGCATGAAATCAATTTACCCAGCCACAGGATACCGGGCTCCTGTGCAGAAATCTGAAATCTGTTGCCCGTTCCATGCCTTAGTATTGAGCGTAGAAATTCGTACTGAAAGAACAGCATCTTGTTCCTGCACACATTCACTTGTCTAGCTAATAAATACTTCACAACCAAAATACGCATGGACTCGCTGTTGGCGACAGCCATGACTTTTGTCCCTCTCCGGATAAGCTTAGCCTCAGGGGAAGAGCCCTGGATCCGTTGGTTCAGAAGGTAGAGGTACCTGACTATGATCAATACGGCCTAGTGTTGCTCTTTTTATATTTCAAGGTTTCTTATTTTACAGGCGGCGGTTTTATAACCCGTAACGAGTTAGAGTTGCATCTTCTGCTGCCTGTGTGGTTGGAAGACTTCTTCCTTATCTTATTCCCCGTCTTCAGCAGCCTGAAGATCGTCCGCCCGCTTGCAAACCGACGGATAATTCTATTAATGTCAGGATCCAGAGGGACCTCTTTCACAGCTCCGGTGCCTCCGAAACAATGTGGGGTGTCTCAGTGTCCATGCGTCTCTATAGCTCCCATTCATTGATCCATGGATAGAACTCCGCTGGAGGACCGAACTTTTTTGAGTTAATCGATGGAGGAGTTGGAACTTGAGAGACAAGACCCCTTTTACCAAGGGAGCCAAAATCCAAATTCCTTAAAATTTTGAGAGATACTAAAAACTATTTGTCCCGACTTTACGGGAAATAAGAACAAGCGACGGTGAGCTTTCTACAAATGAAACTGCTTCTGCGCCCCACTCCTTTTTTTTTTTTTTTTTTTTTTTTTTTTTTTTTGGGGAAATTGGAACAATGACGTGCCTTGTACTCCCGTATATATCATGCCAATCCGCGCACACATTTGTTACCCTTTCACCAACTATTCCATCTACATCTAGGTATCATCGGTTGGCCCAAATTTTCTGGAACTGTTTGGAGCTCCCCCTCCCCTCCCTCTCCCATCCCCGCACACACATCAAATATGCAACATCATTCCGATGTTTTAAAATTATGCACCGAGAACATCTGGGCTCGCAGCATTTCCTTATGCGGCTGCTGAGCGTGGTGGTCTGACAGGCAGGGACCTAGACCTTGCGCTTGATTCCCAGTAGCAGTTTTTGTCTGGTATTATCCGATGCGTACATAGGTAGCATGCATAGGATGTTTGGCTTGCTGTAAACATGGGAATATTGCTCGGTCTGCATATGCATTTATTTTCTTTCTTTCTTTCTTTCTTTTCTTTCTTTTAATTTTTTTTCTTTTTAATTGTATTCGTCGATATAGTTAGTTATTATGTCGAGGATGATTCTGCCAATAGCTACTGCGTATCCATTCGAAAATATCTTTTACAGGAAGATACAACATACACTAGGTCACTAGGTATATAGCTTCCATCGCCGAAAATCAGCTGCAGTATGGATGGATGACGGGGCTTACCCTTGCTTTTGCTTGATACAGACCACAATATATAACACTTGTGTGCCCGAATTCTCCAACATGGGGAGAGGAGGGAAAAAATCCATTTTATACATGATAGGGAGAAGTCGGGAATCTTTCCTCTTCCTACCTGGCTGGTCCCTTGCGCTGTAGCAATGCACAAGCAACCCCCCCCCCCGACACTGGCCTGTCCTCTCCTGTCCGGCTTCATCATACGAAGGGCGCTTTGTACGCAGTATATATCACGATCAACATATTGGAACTTTGGAATGTCGATCGACCGTTGCTTTTGGACTAGCTAGTTAACTACTTTGTGTGACTGAAGGAGTGCAAAAGAAAACTACTCCGGTATCTCGCGCGTGGTGTCCGCGCGCAACAAGAAGAGAACTGTTGCAGTGTGTGCATGCAGGGGTTTAAAATATCTCCGCCGCGCTTTGTGTTCATTCATTTCGTAGGTTAGTTAGCAACCCAAAAAGGGACATTCTGAAGTAAAGGTATGTACTCCGTACTGCATAAACAAACTCTCATCACACCCGCATACCAACACTGGGGGCCTGCGAACGGATAGTGCAGAGTTCGTTTACCTTTTTTTTTTTTTTTTTTTAAAAAAAAAAAAATGTGGGACGCGTTCACTCATTTATTCTAATGCGGACCTTTTGCCAATGTGGGTGTACTAGTAGTATTTTTTTTTATATCGCTCGATTTGCGTTAAACGAGAAACAAATCCTCGTGAAAAGGGTATGTATATGTATGTATGTATGTGTGTATGTGTGCGTGTGTATGCCGTGTGTGTGGTTTGTGTGTTTGAGGAGGGGTTTAGTATTTTTGGCTCCTCATGACTGTCCCGATACTCTCGATAGGCAGTTACCATGATTCCCAAGGATTGATACATGGGC